AGTGGCCAGCCACTGCCGTGGTGCTGTGTCCACTGGGAGCCAGGCCCAGTGCCTGGCTTGCGCTTGGACAGCCTGCTAACCTGTGTTCTCCTGTTCCTCCCGCTCACTGAATGACTTTCCATGTGTTGTTACAGACATCTCAACAGCGAGCACGCGCTGGACGACAGAAGTACAGCCCAGTGTAGAGTCCAGATGCAGGTGGTGCAGCAGTTAGAGCTACAGGTAAAGCCCGTTTATTTCTGACCTTCCCTCGGGGTTCTGCAGTGGGTTCCTGTGTGCTCGGTACTCAAAGTCCGAAGCCTGCGGTCGTCCTTTATTATTGTTTTTTAACTCTTTGGGCACATTCAGCCTGGGAACTGCTACCCTGACGTCTGGTCGCCCCCAGGCCGTGTGTGTGTGTGTGTGTGTGCGTGCAGCCAGTTCATGGCCACCACCTCAGCTTTTCCATCTCTCCCCCATTCTCCCTCCCTTTCCTCACCTCGTTTTCCTTTCTGGTTACCTGTTGCTGAACGAATTCCCTCAAGTTGCTACTGGTGTTAAACTGCAGTTTGGGGAGAGGAGTGTGGGCACAGGGAGGTGTGTTGTGCCATGTTGGAGTGGAAGGCATATGAGGGTCATCCCCCCTCCTATGTGGCACCCATTTCTCTCCACCACTGAGAACCACTGAGTGCTGACGGCACACATTGAAAATATACACACACAGCCAGGCACGCACGGTGGCGTACCCCTGTAGTCTTAGCACCTTGGGAGGCTGAGGCAGGAGGATCACAAATTCAAGGGAAGCCTCAGCAACTTAGGCAGACCCTGTCTCAAAAAGTGAAAAGGTCTAGGGGTGTAGCTCAGTGGCAGAGCACCCCCGAGTTAACTTCCTAGTACCAAAACAGATATATTCACATATATGTGAATAAAATGTGCATAAATACTTGTATCTATTTACACATTTATGTGCATAAATACTTGTATCTATTTACACATGGTATGATTTGGTGTTTAGAAAGCCATTGTGCCATGCTGGACCTATTTCATGACTTGTTCACATTTTCCTAGGCGTGAGAGAGGGGGGCATTGCTAAAGGGGGTTCCACCGCCTGGTACGGCTTGTTGATAAAATACCATATTTGAACAATAATCCCAATCTTGGCATAATTAATAGAAAATTAGTTTCTAGAAGTAAAAATTGGGTCAGAAATAGAGATTATTAAAATGTACAGTTACAGAAGCCTGACCCTGTAAACCCCATTTATGCAACCAAGTTCCAGAGCGCTTTTGAGTACCCGTGACTCTGCGGCTTCTTCCTCTGGCTGGTGCCGAGTGGGCGAGAGGTTAGTCAACGAGGCGAAATTAAAACAGCACTGCACGTTACGTGGGTACCAGCCATCGGAAACCTATTTTGTATGCAAGGCAGCAATGCCGAGATATATGGAGAGCCCTCGGCTAAGTACAGGAGATAATTACATTTGGAATTTCACCGAGTTAAGTCATTTACAGCTTCAAATAGTTGCAGAGAAAAATCAGCCCAAACACCACTTAAACTTTTTGTTGTAAGTTTTCTAGATAGAAAGAATCTTTTTTTTTTTTTTAAATTAGCTCTCACCTTATATGACAAATTGTGTTTTGTTAGTAGGATTTTATTTTCTAGAGCTAGTTAATGTTGTCCATTCTAATGACACACAGAAACTTAGCAGAACAGTAAGATATTTATCCAGGCAAAGGTCACATCAAAAAAAATCCCCAATTTTTGTATGTCTTTGTAAATATCCTTAAACCTAACCTGTTGTGAAGAAGGAAAAAAAAAGTGATAGATTTAGCAGAGGCTGAGGAAGGTTTTGACATTTTAAATAGTTAGGAGACCAAAACCAAAGGGTACCACTGTAGAAGAGGTGAAAATGCCCTGAGGTCCGTACCTCGGTGCCAGCTGCAGAGGCTGTCCAGAGCCAGCGGTGCCGGGATCACCTGTGCATGACCACAGCAGTGCCAAGTCACTGGCAGATCCCTGGTTCTCAGGTGAGATGGCGAAGCAGCCCGTGGCCCAGGGTGAGGGGAATCGAGTGGCATCACGCCGTTAGCCCCTCGGGCCTGCGTTCCCGGCTGCCTGGATTCCTCCCCTCCCACCCCCTCCTTCCTGGCCAAGGTGGAAAGGCCTGTGCTGTCCCCACGTGGGTCAGGGCACCTCCTAGGCTGCACGAGGGCTCGCCAGCCCCGGAGGTCACGAGAGGCGAGCTGAGGGGGTTCCCTCACTCATACTTTCTCACTTAGCAAGTGGCAGGCAGAACCCCCACCCTGCGCCATCTTGGCTGCGCCTCCGTGGGGTCCAGTCGTGCTGACGACAGGCGGGACGGCCCCCTACATTCCATCCTGCGGAAGTGACAGGAGACCACAGAGTTCTGGTAACTCTCCAGCAGAGCCACCCACCCGTTGGATGGTGCTAGCTGACGCTGACACATTCTTGAAGTGCCACACATTTACCCAGAAGAGGGTCTCGATGTTACAAAGAGGTCACACAATAACAGATTTTGCCCATCCGTTATGCAGTCAGGTGACACAGAGAAGAAAGGCCAGCAGTTTTAGTCTGTAACCCTCTTGAGCTCCGACGAGCCCGGGCTATCCAGGCCTCACTTGAGGGTCTGGGGTGCATCCTAGTGCTGCAGGGGACCCTGGGACAAGGCTTCCTGTTTCTCTGAAGCTCAGCAGCTCCATGTCAGTGTGGTCGCACTTACCACTCCTCAGGCTGGTGTCGGGAAGTGCACTTCTGAATGGACCCTCGACTGACGGTCCTGGTGCCTATGGAGGCTGAGAACAGGGAATGAGGCCCCTGCTCCAGCAGGAACCCGGGAGCAGACACGTTTATGCATGGAGAGTGGCCTTTGCAGGTGCCCTTTCCCAGGACACTGTCCCCCATCCTCACATCGCAGGCTGGGGTTCACCTGCCCTAGAGGGAGTGCCCTCTACCTGCCTGGCCCAAGGGCTACTTCTTTTCCATTAGAGAAGTGTACCCTAGTCCAGGAAATTTCCTGAACCGCCAGGCATCTCAGAGTGGGCTGTAGAATCCACATGGAGTAACTTGACTTTGAGAACCGTTGGTACCATTGAGCCCTCCAGGGGAGAGCCGTTCCCCACGGGTTGTGGCTGGGCCGGAGCAGGAGGAGAGCTCTGCAGCGGCAGGCCCACAGGGCCTCTGTCCACACAGCAGCCCGTGAGCCTGGAGCACTGGACCAGACCTTCCAGCGTGCAGTGATGGAGGCTCCTGAGGACTAAACTAGAGGATCACAGTAAAGGACCAACAGGAGGCTTCAGAGGGCAGATTCAGGTCCAGCAGTGACCGTCACCAGTGGAGGCCACTTGAGCCCTGGGCTGTGTACCTGTCCAGGCCCTGGCATCTGAACCCCAGAAAATTCCACTTACCCATGAGAGACGGCCCTTTGTGTCTCGTCTGTCAGTGATGTTCTTCAGTCTCAGGGGACAGTGGCTAGAGACGCTTCCCTTCGCAGAGCTGCCGATGGGCTCCTGTGCATGAATCAAACCAAAAGCAGGGCTTTTTGAGGTCAGAGAGTACAGTGTAAGATTTCATCTCTTGAATGTCCCCTTGACAGATTCTTCCGGAATGTTGTACAAAGGGGTGGGTTAGAAGTGGGGCAGCGTTCTCACATGGTCTCGTGCAGGTGCATTCATGACGTGCTTATCTGTCAGCCTTTTGTGTTCGGGGGGTGGGGGGGCTTTCCACTTGGAGGCAAGGAAGCGTCCTCTTCAGCAGACAGCAGCCAGCCAGGACCTGCCTCTCTCGGAAAACCAGGCATGGCTAGC